CCCAAGACTAGGTTAAGCGACGTAATTAGGAAACACTGGAAATGAAAGAATCCACAAATCAAAAATACGCAAAACAAGTTAATTTCTTAATTTCTTATTAAACGGGGATCAACATATGTCTTGCCGCCATTACTACATATCAGCCTTAATAAATCAGCAAAGCACACAGGACAAATCGTACACGTAGTTCCTTCAGCTCTGAAAATTCAAAACGATATAAGAGTACTACACTGTACCAGAGAAGCACATGTTAGTGTTTCATTGAGGTGAAAATTGTCATAACAAATCAAAGCTCCACCCATGAACATTAGCCTTTTCTGCATTACTGCAAAAATTCCTACGAAACACTTAAAATGCTGCCCCATAACATTAATTCTGTGACGAATATGCTGATCCATGGTTGAGATTACCGAAAAAAGTCGAAAATAACGCTTCAACTTTCTAGGTGTAACGCAACTGCATGGTCAGCATCATCAGGGAATCAGGAACAAAACAAACAAAACCTAACTTAACGGAACTATATCTCTCTACGTTAATGAAATATACCCATCCACCTACCAGCTGTTCGTCCATTATTAAAGCCCCCACTTCTCTGGGAGACATTCTTCAGAATTTGGAATAGCCCGCCTTTCCATCACAGTGAAAAGCACATTAGCAGTCGTGTTTTTGTGTAATAAATACAACCTACCAGGCTTCGTTAGCCTCTGCCGAGGCTTCTTTCTACCCTCTCTTCTCCTTTGTTGTACATAGATAGAAAAATCAAATGCAGCCAGGGTGACGAAAGTATCAACGGGTGAGAAGCCGACACGATACAACTGTTGTTTAAAGACCATCTTGTTCTGTTGGCATATTTTCAGACTTATCGCCATAGCTCTGGAAAGGTTCGCAGCTGAACGGGACATTGCTGGCATGCATGGGAAAGTATCTAAAGCGAAAAGTCTTATGCTTTCTCCCTCTTCCGCCTGCTGCACTCTGCAAATAAATAGATAAGCACTGCAACATATGGAGAAACTCAGGTATCTTCAGGTCGTGTTCGCTGGTGGTGGGAAACGGAAGAGATCGGTCGGAGAATAGGAAACGCCAGTGGTGTTCTGCGTAAACGAGCTGAGCTGTTTTAAAGAGGCAGAGCTGATTTCTACGACTAAGCCGCCAGTATTCAACTCGATCTTTGTCCATTTGTACTCTACTGTCATGAAACGTTGGCGATGACAGAAAAACTATGATCCAGGGCAACAGCGGCTAAAATGGCTTTCTGAGACGAAGCGCTGAGCTCACACATCTTGCCATTGTCCGCGGTATAGATATTCGAGAGTGTCTTTATGTACAGCCGCTATTACTGTAAAATGAGTAGTCACAAACGAGTGGCTGCAATGGTTTGGAGACGTCTTGTAAATGCTTCCAGAAAGGAAGGCGAAACAGCTCATACTTGCTCAACGGACCGGCTGAAGACCCTGGGAACGGATAGAATAACTGGAGGCATATGTCTAGAAAAACTCGGCTCCAAAGTCAGAATATGTTCTACCGAAATTTAAACGCTGGCACAGAATCAGGAAGAAGACTGGCACCATTATCTGACAGCGCCCAGCTAGGCGACCCAAGCGACCATCGAAAATGACTGACTGACTTTCAGAAAACAATTTCAGCTGGGTCAGGCATCAATAGACAAAACTATTGTTCACTGTTAATCTCATATAACAAAAATGACGACATTGACAGGTTAATGAGTAGAGAAAAACAGCAAATCTATTCAACCTACTTTATCGGTCACGTTGTCACTGCACTTAGGGTTCGAAGCAGGTTGAAAATAAGGAACACCTAGTTCATCGGGGGCAAACGTCAAAAGACTGCAATAGCCGTCTTCAGAAGAAATCAGTAAAATACGCCCATCATGAGACCTACAAAAGAGCGACTTTATGTGACAGCACAAGCATGTTTTCTTCTCACCAAGTCAGATCGGTCAGACGGGCATAATGAAGATGGCGCACATGAAGCACTGGCAGAGGTTGCTCAGAATCATAAACAGTAACAGTAGATCTGGTGAGAACGGCATACAGGAATCGATATGGCAGGCTTAAACGAAGCAACATGAGAGAGAAGGAAGTAGCGCACTTATGGCGAATTACTCGAACATGATGGCCGCCTTCCGTAACTGGAACAGTAGCGGGCAACAACGTACAGCAATCGTCGCCTCTTTTGGTGACGGAAGTATTAAACACGGTCTGAAGAAAAAAATTGAAATATGTCAATGAAGATTCGATAATGAGTTCGATGTATACTTTGTGAACTTGCCGCTACAAAAAACGTACGTGACAAACGAACATTTTCCATCTTCTGTAATGCAGCCAGCTAAAAAATAACAGTCAACGGAGGTGAATTCACATCTGCATGAAGACACGATCACCTGGAACTAGCAAAAGCTTTCCATCTGGCGAAAAGCACAACTTTCGCGCATACGCCATCAGTGAATTGTCATGGAACAGTTTTACTGACTAAATAGCATAAGCCAGACATAAGCACAAGCTAACGTTTGCTCTCGCAAAGTCAAAAACTACTCTGATTTCTTTTGACAATGGCGTAGGAATTTCAGACTTGATTACAACGGAGAGTCGTTGAAATCCCTTTACTTCATAGCAGTTCATGGTGCTGAAGTGAGAAGATAAACAATATCAAACAAAACATGCAAGTGATTTTACCTGTCATTCGAAAGAGATACAAAATATTGGCATAAAGGATCCCAGGCTACACCAACGGGAAACCGCCGCTTGTCTTCGATGATCATCTTTACCTTTTCGCCTAATTAATAGATGTGACTGATCAGCCGTCATTATAAAATACTAAACTTTCACAGTGTACCTTTTAACGCATTCCAGAGGATAATACTACGATCAACGGCGCATGAGAGTAGGTACTTTCCATCTGGTGACCAACACAAGTCACATATCTCTGACACGATAGCCTCGTTGTTAGGAACGTGACCGCTATGACACCGAACTTACGTGAGCAAATAACAGACAGAAAATTATATCTTTACTAAAGCATGTGAAACTTAGACCAGTGCTGCTTTTGAGGAAGTTCGTCGTCATTAGACGGAGAGAAAATATTTGAATCTACTGCATCTTCTTGTCGCCAAATAATAATAAGAGCGTCAGAATCGCCGGATGCAATGAACTTGCCTGAAAGTAAAGCAAACCAATGCAATAGAATCTCAATAATTTATGGCAAGAGTAAAACAACAACAGTCAAAATTAAATCTTAAAAATAGAAAGTAGTGAAACTATTTGCTTCAAATTCATTTCAGTAGATTTCTTGACTGAATGACTAATTAGTTGCATTTATAATTCATCAATTTTGCTCAGAGTTCTCAGATTTCTTAATAAGCAACTCTACATGCACATTTTATTAAACACATTACTCATGATGTTAAGGAAAACTGATAACCGCTAATCAAATCTTTCAGATAAAATAATTCTGTTCAAGTTTCAAATAATTTATCATAATTATTAATAAGTAATAATGTAACGGGTTGCTATCACCAGCTAGAAATAGACATGTTCCGGTATGAGCCTGATATGTAGGACTATCGCAATGATTGATATATTCCACTAAAGGATCTGAAGTAAATATCTCTTCAAAAAATA